AGACTTTGGCTCTTGAAGGTCCCTTCAAAATCCAAAACATCTATGATTTCTTCTTGCTGTTTTTCTAATCTATTTATAGGCTCCTTCAACCAAATAGAATAGCCTTGCAGGTAAAGTGTAATTTTCTCCCAGTGATAGTTGAAGTGTATTATCCAAAATTCTGGTTGCAAGTGACGGAAATCCAATTTGAACCTTTATTACAAAAACAGAGGGTTGTCTCCCATAACTAAAGAAAGGAATAAATATGCCTGCATCCCAGGAATAATCATGATCAAACACTTGAACACTTTCAGAACTCCCACTTTATTCATTACTGTGTGTATCCCTCTCTGTATCACTATTCTCTTCTGACAAAACAGCCTGTTTTCCACATACACACACATCTCTCTCTCTGCCATTTCTTCCCTTCCTTCTTTCTCTCTCTCTCTCCCCTCTGTCCCTCCCTACTCTCCACCCTCTTTCCTTTCCTCCCTTGTCCACTCTTTTTTTCCCCAGTCCAGAATCCCAGAGAAGGGATATTGACTTAGCTTTAATAAGGAACCCAGCACCCCCTGAAATTTAAAATCTAAAATCGTCAGGCTGTGCAGAGTTACGTGCCCCATAATTACACCAACTATGATAGCCTTGTGAATGAATGAGAATATTCAGAAAAGGTAATTGTGCGACAAAATGATGCATCCATTTCAATGCAGGAGAGAAGAAAGGAAGTCTGGAATGCTCAGGTACTGTCACCAGGGCAGCCATTTGTTCTTTCTCTTTTCACTGATGGTGACAACAGAAGGAAAAGCAGCAGTGGCAATGTTGACTGCATGAATATTCTCTAGTTTCCTGTTTTATAATACAATTTTCTTAGATAAGCAATTACATAATCAAACTACCTGACATGAGACCAGCCGCTTCAATTTTATTGTATCTCCCAGAACAGGGGTCGGCGAACTTTTGAGATGGAAGAGCCAATCCTGTCCCTCACAACAATTTAAAAATTATTTGAGAGCTATAAATATATTTTTACATAATCACCATTATGTGAATAATATCCTTTAAAANACATCAAAATAAATAATGATAATAACAGGCATAAAATAAGAAACCAT